AGGCATGGTGGCCTGCAGCATCGACACTGGGCACTTGGATGTGGATAGCCAAGAGTACTGGTGTATAGGAAAGGGATTTAGCTCAGGCAGAAACGCCCCTGCCTCGAGGCCTGGAAGGGGGGCGGCCACAATGCTCACTGTCCTCAGCCGTGCCAGAGTCACTGCATGTTCTTCAAAGACAACGTGAGGGGTCAGCAAAGGAGAGGCGGCCGTGACTAGAAATGGGGAGAGAAACAGAAAACATCAATGATGTGCTCTGGCTAGATGTTTCTTACTAATTTTATATATAGATAGATAGATGTAATTTTTGTTCACATTATACCGTCCATGCCTGGTGGACTCACTGGCGTGGTCAACACTCATGCATTTTCTTTTCCTGGGGGGCGATGTAGATAACAACTAAACTGGAATGTTGGATAGCAGCCAATTTAATTGGCAGATGCCCTCCTCCCCCAGAGGTGCAAATCAGAAAATCCATGAAATGCTGCTGGTTTTCAGATTCTGTCTTACTCAAAATAAACCAAAGGTCTCAAGAATCAATTGGAAAATGTTGGATTATGTTCAGAATTCAGTGAGGGACCAAATGGATTATCCAGACCACTTTGTACCCAGAATTGTTTTTTGAACTTGGTTTGCAGAGATTCACTTGAAGAAATCTTTATGTTCCACATAGCTTCTTTTTTTAACACACACACATATTTTAAATAATTACAGCATAATCAACACTGTCTCCAGAAAGCTAGGGTCACCTTGAACATACTTCTGATTTTCCTTTGGGTAGTAAACAACCATATTAAGATTTTTCTTTTAAAATTAATAAAAATATATATCCTCTGTGACATCCAGCTTTTAAAGCAGCTGTTAAAATTCGATCATTGTGTTTGATATATGTCGATCTGGGTATAGGACACATGACAATCTACTGATTTTTCTCAGCATTGCAGACGCCTCACTGCAAAGTTACAGTCTGGAAATTTTTGGCTTCAAGGTGGGACTTGGGAGTCATGGCCTTCAGAACTCGAATTCTCCCAGTTGTCCAAAGACCCATCTGTGACTTGTGACTTGGCTTCTACTGTCGTGGGTGTTGTGCAGGCATTGGAGCCCGCAGGGAGGGCCGGTAACCTTTAGTGTCTATCTGCAAGCCTGTTATCGACTTTATTTTCCTGAAGGAGAAACCAAGGTATCTAAGGTTTATTGATTTGCCTATAGCGATTCAGCAAGTCGGCAGGGAATAGGGAATAAAACCAATTTCCTGGCATCATTTCCCACGCACACAACCCCTTACCTTGCAATGCCTAGACTGGAAGCCAAGAAACCATCTCAGGGAATTTGCTCAGAAAACAGATGAAGGGTGATTCTAAAACCACAGAAGCATTGAGAAAGTCATAAAGATGTATAATATATGATAGCATTTACCAGCTATAAATAGGGGAGATGCAGGGAGAAAAATAGAGACCTTGTAAATCCATTGGGTCAGAAGAAATAGAAACTGCTTAATATTTCATTAAAAATGGATTTTCATAAATTGCACTTTGATATCTTTGGGCAAAAGACAATATGTAAGGACTAAGGTGTTGTTATTCATTACTCCATTATGAATAATTTGAACTGTTATTGAACCAACACATCAACAAGGTATCCTCTCCCTGTGAATGGGGCTCTCACCATGTGTCCTGGGCACCGTTTGAAGTGGATAAAAAATCCACAGTGCTTGTCCACAAAAGCACTTAGGCTATCAGGGACAACAGGTAACTAAAATGCCCGTTACAAAGTGGACTCTCTTGTGAAGAAAAGCTTAGAAGCAGGGGGCCAGAGAGGAACTTACAAATCAACTCGTACAATCCCCTCGCTTAGCAGAGGAGGAAATTGGGGCCCGAGGGAGGCAGAGATATTTGCCCACACTTATGAGCTAATTAGCAGTAGAGCCTGGCTCCTGGCTTCCCATTCAGTGGGCATTTTTGCTTTTTCCACCAAGCCACACTCAGAGTGAGAGCTGTGTTAAAAATCTAACAAAATAAGATAATGTTCCTTCAGCAAAGGGTCCGGAGAACAGGAGGCAGATATGGATACAGGTCAAGGGCAAACAAGAAACCAGTAAGGAAGTAGGCTAGGAAACATGAAGGATCATTTGAAGCCAAGTTGAAAAAATCCTTCATTTGATGCCAGGAGTGGGAGCAGAGTGAGCAGAATGAAATTCAACTTGAGAGGCCAGGTAGAGGGCCGAGGGGAGATCAACTGTGTGCTTGCCTCCCTCCCCGACAGACGCCCCTGCAGGCAGAGAGTAGGGGCTTCGTCCAAAGCCTGTGGCCACACACGTCCACAGGAAGACCAGTCCCTCCCCAGGCACGTTCCACGAGCGTGTGCACCCCATGCCCACGTGCAGCCGTGCTCACGCACACGCCACCCTCCCAAAGACGGCCCGAATACGCAACCATTTCCTCACCGAGGGAGGAAAGAAAAGATTTCTTGGTGGTGTCTGCCAAGGTTGAGAAATGAAGGGGTCAGATAAGATAAAATTGAATATTAAAAGCACATAAGACGTGCTGTGTTTCTAAACGGTACCAGCGTGGTGTGGATGCTGAGGATTAGCAGCTGTGTTAAAGTTCAGATCCACTCAACTCTCCAATTAGCATTCACATGACAAATAGAGCTATTTTCCCCAATACGAACTCCTTAGCATCTCCTGATGGAGGCCACACACACAGTCCCAGCACCTTCCTCGGGGAGCAGGCCAGTGGCGGCCCCCCCGCTGCTCACAGCACCCGTCAGAAATAAGCAAACTGCTGCATTTACCTCTTCCTTGCCAAAACAAAACAAAACAACAAACAGAAGGCCTCTGCCTCTTGTGAATTCTGGGAGAGCTGATTAATCTCTTTCCCTTGGATTCAGTTCCCCCACCCCATTCCTGACCCCTGGGGAGCCCTTTCTCAGCATGCAGGGAGTAGGGTCACCCGCTCCCCAAGGGCCTTCTCCCAGGTGCCTGGCCCTAGCCCTCTGTCCTTTCTCCTGGCCCTCTCTTCTTCCCATGCTAACTTTGTCTTCCCACTGGTGCTTGTCCTCCTTCCCTGTACAGGAAGCAGCAACATCCTGGGAGAGGGGCGTGGTCCACTAGTCCTTCCTCTGTGCTCCCTGCTGCCAGCAAGGCAGAGAGTAAGGAAACTGACGGCCTTAGGAGAAACTGAGGGCTTTTCAGGGGAGCAGAGGGAGCAGCAAGCTGGGTGGGCAGGATGGGAGCCACCTCCCAGATTTGGCAGGCTTAGCACCAGAACAATGATTTAAACTGAATATGGCAAACCCATGAAAATCTGTTTCCTTCTTTGTCTTGAGCAAGCCACTTCCCTTTCTTTAGTCGCAGAAGGTATGCTGTCTCTACCCCCACACCAGTGGTGTGCTACTAAATGGCTCTAACTTTTGACCTTAGCACGTGGAAAATACAGAGGGCTCAAAGTTGTCAAATCATGGGTTCACAGTTCATGGAGAAGAGAGGACTATACAGTTAATTGGCTCTAAATTCCTGTGCTGTTCTTTGCCTTTCTTCAAAGCCATTCTAAGGTGGGATTATAAATGCACACTGGGAACACACCACTGGACAGTGATTCGATTTCCATTCAAGCCATGCTTAGAGACCTTATGGGCTCCATGACTCCTAGCCACCAATAAGCACCTCAAATTTATTAAGAGATAAAAGTCAACCTAGGAAACCACAAGCTTTAAGCCTACAAATTTGGCAAGGGCCTTGGATCCAGGCAAGCATCTCTGAGCCTTAGTTTCCTCATCCATAAAGTCAAGATAACAATACTTATCTCCTCGGGGTATTGCAGACATAATTGTATTTACGGTGTCTGGCTCAAACGTATTCAGATACACCAGTTTCCCCATTCCTCTTGTCTCAGCCCTGTTGGTGCACCCAACACCAGGTATGTCCTGGGTGTCATGAGCTGAAGCACCTACTTCCCCTACACAGGAGAAATCACTGATTGCTGCAGAGTTGGCTGTGAATAGGTTTACAGAGTCCCTTGGTGGTTATAGCTATGACAGGTATAGGAGTGATGATTGGTTGGTTGGTTGGTTTTCATAGATTTAGAAGTGATGGTTGGTTGGTTGGTTGGTTTTTCCCTCTACGCTTATCCAGGGAAACCAAGAGAAATTCACATATACTTGCTCCAGTTACTTTTTTTTTTAATGGAAACACAAAAAAGCATAAGGTCCATATGGCAGCTATTGATTTGGACCATCTGGTGAGCCAGGACTTGCTCCTACCATGTTGAACCAGAAGCTGCTCCAAAAAGCCTTTCCTCCCATAAGAGACGTATTGGTCAGATGGGGACGGGGATGGATTTCATTATAGGGCAGGGACTACAGTGAGAGGAAGCCAGAGCAGGACTCTGAGGGGCTGTCTGCAACCCTGACCCTACAACAAAGACCAGAGAGAACCAAGAATGTGTTGATTGACACAGGGGCACTGGGGGTAGCGGGTGCCCCCTTACCATCTCCCCCGCTGCGGGAGTGGATGGCCTCAAGTAACTAACAAAAACAATTGTGGAGCACTGTATAATTACAAAACGCTCTGCAAGTATTCCTGGGTGCCTGCAACGGGAGGAGGAGGGAGTGTCAAGTTCACCCTCATGAGTGAGGTCTGCTAGCCCTAAAAGATGACACACATTTTCCCTTCATTTTTAAAGAATATTCTACTTTTCTCTCTCTCTCTTAGCTTCTGAAGTGTTTGCCTTCCAAGGCTGCTTTCTCTGCTTGCTCTCAAACCAGAGGCAAAATTTTCCTTCCCTCTAAAAGTTTTTGTGAAGACCATTTATTGTTTTCAAGTTGGAAAAATGTGAGAATTTTTTTTTTACGGTGTCTCTAAAACAACAAGACCACTGATTATTTGTAAGCTTGAGGGAGATAAAAGTCAACAGGACTTTCGCACCTGCTTCAAAGACTGCTCGAGTAGCTAAGCTGCCAACAGGGATTTCAATAATGCAGTTTGGTGTCCTACGTTGCAGGTATTTCAAGCCAACAACGATGCAACCGAGGTGGTTGTGAACAAGCTCCACACGCCGCTGCTGACGAGGTTTGTCAGGATTCGCCCTCAGACCTGGTTCTTGGGCATCGCCCTCCGGCTGGAGCTCTACGGCTGCCGGGTCACAGGTGAGGCGTGGGCTCCAGTGAGGGTGGGGAGCCGACTGCACCACGCGACCTTCCCTGCAGGATTGGCGCAGGAACTCAAGTCCTACCGGAATTTGTCTTTTCATTCATGCATGCATTCAGTATGTATTTATTAAGTACCTACTATTTCTACCCCCTAACATTTATCCAACACTAACTATGTACCAGGTTTCATTCTAAGCACTTAAGGTGTGTTATCTTTTCTTATCCTCATAAGGACTCTGTGCTGTAGGTATTATTCTCCTCACTTTTCAGTTGAAGAAACCAGGACTTAAAGAGCTAGGTCACCCAGCCAGTAAGGGTTGGAGCCAGCGTTTGAATCTACGCAGTTTGAATCCAAAGCCCAGGCTCTCAAATTACACTCTTTACTGCCTTGACTGGGGGCCAAGAGCCATGCACGGCGCTGTGGATACGGCAGTGAGCATGAACAACAGACCCAGTTCTACGTGGGCATATGGACAAGTTGGGCAGACATATTAATGAACAAACTTGTAAATAAATGTAAAATCAAAACTATGATAAATGTCAGGAGACAGAGGCTTGTGATCCTTGGAAGTGCAGTGGAGGGGATTTGACCCAGTGTAGGAGGTCAAGGAGGACGTCCTTGAGGAGGTGATGATTGAGCTGAGGTTAGAAGGCAGACTGATGTTACCTGGTGAAGAGGGAGGGAAAGTGCACCAGGCAGTGGTCACAGCTTGCTCAATGGCACTGTGCCAAGAGGGACCAAAAGACAAGGTGAGGAGGGTGGGCAAAGCATGTGGGCTGAAACCCACAGAGTATAGATTGGAGAGGACCAAAGTGGGAGCTGGGACACCTTTAGGAGGCTGGTGCAGTGGTGCAGATGAGAGATGATGGTGACTAGACTAGCCCTAGACAGTTAGGGATCATCCAATCCCCTCTCTCTTGTGGGTTCAGCCCAGGGCAGGGAAGCTGCTTCTTGGTCCTGGAAGGGCCTGCAGTGTACGTCCATCCTTGCTTTCCTCCCAGTCATACCAGCTCTGATGGGGAGTGCTCCATGGTACGACCCTCTTGGAGGCTTCTGGTTTAAACATTTTGCATTTGCATGGTCTCTGCAGCCTTCACATCCTTCTTGCGCATCATCTTATCTACTCTTTCTAACAACCCGTGAGGTCAGTGGGGCAGGAACTGATGAGGAAACCAAGACTCAGAGAGGCTAAACAGCTTGCCCAACGTCACCCAACTAGGCAGCGGCAGAGCCAGGAACTGAACGCACATTTTCTCAATACAAACTCTCTGCTTTTACCACCTTTACACAAAGACCCAGTTTCCCTCTTACGTAGTCGGTTTATCCAAATCCCACTTAGGGGACTGTTTTCTGTTCCTTCCATGTTGCTGTTCCAGCAAAGGCTAATCAGCAAAAATGTGGTTAAAACTCACTTTCTGGAAGATTGAAAGGAGGGAACCAGTGAATCTGAAGAAGGGATATAACCTGAAGGATCTTTTTTGTATATATAACTCAAGTTTACAAGTATTTAATGCACGCTTGCCGTAGACCCTGCTTTTTCTGACATCATTTGTTCATACGTTTTTCATTCATTCATTCAGTCCACCAATGCTATGTGCCAGGCCCCACCCTGGCCATTGGGATTAGAGAAGGGAGATAGAGAAGGGAACAGAACATCGGGAGATAGAGAAGGGAACAGAACAGATGGGATCTCTGACATCATGGGGCTTTCAGGAAGTTTCAGGCCAGTGGGCAAGAGAGATGATACACAAATGCAAGTACTGGATAATTATAAGCTAAGATATGCGTATGAAGGACAAGAATAGGGTGCTCTGGAGCGACTGTGGGGACCTACTTTAGTGTGGATTAAAATTTTGGGGACAGCCTTTTGAAGGATATGGCACTTAAGCTTGGAGTGAGTAAAACTTAGTCTGGGGATGACTGAAGGGAAGAGCATGTGAGTAACAGGAACAGCACATGGGGAGGATCCAAGGCAGTGAACAGCAGTGATGACACAGTGGAAGTAAAGTTTCCGTTCACCTGGTAAAACTATCACCAGGGATCTTAGCTGGCTCCCCTGCGCTCACTGTCCTTGAGAGGGTCAGTGGGGACCAGTCTCCTTGACAAGGATCTGGAGATACACATCCTGACAGTCCTTGGTTAGAGCTATAAGTACAAGGAGCTACCAGTCATTAGACACTCAGATATACCAGGCACTGTCCTGGGAGCCATTGCATGGTAACTAATGGAAAACTCACAACAACACCAAGAGGTACGTATTGCAATTGGCTCCCCTTTAGATCTGCAGAAACTGAGGCAGAGAGCAATTAAGTAATTTGCCCAAGGTCATCCCACTAGTAAGTGGCAGAGTGAACATGAACACAGGCAGTCTGGCTCTGAGTCTGGGCTCTTGATCACAGTGCTAGACAACCTCGAAATGCAAAAACATCGGTGCTGACTTAAAGCATGTGACAGTTGGGGTCTTTTGCAGCTCCCTACTAGTAGGGGAGGTTCCCTGGTTACAGGGGTGTCAGCCATGACCTCTGACATCTTCCTCCCCTCTCTGCAGACTCCCCCTGCTCCAACATGCTGGGGATGCTCTCGGGCCTCATCTCCGATTCCCAGATCTCCGCCTCCTCCACCCGCGAGTACCTGTGGAGCCCCAGCGCAGCCCGCCTAGTCAGCAGCCGCTCCGGCTGGTTTCCCCGGATCCCTCAGGCCCAGCCGGGTGAGGAGTGGCTTCAGGTAGACCTGGGAGCACCCAAGACGGTCAAGGGCGTCATTGTGCAGGGAGCCCGCGGAGGAGACAGCATCACCGCAGTGGAGGCCAGGGCATTTGTGCGCAAGTTCAAAGTCTCCTACAGCCTAAACGGCAAGGACTGGGAATACATCCAGGACCCCAGGACCCAGCAGCCAAAGGTAGGCCAGTCCTTGAGGACTCTATAACCTTACCCCAAACAGGGAGGCTAACTGGGACGCAGGGAGTTGGGGTGCCAATTTCCCAGCTAGACGGCCACCCTCCAACCCCTGCAAACCAATAAAATAAATATCATTTGAGAGATTACCTTGTGCCAGGCATGGTGCTAAATGCCTTATTTAGACTCTCTTCTAATTCCCACATTCTCTACAAAGTAGATCCTTTTGTCACTCCCATTTTAGAGATAATAAAACTGAGGCTTTGTATCATGCCAGGGTTGCACAATTTACCTGTGGTAGAGCCATGATTGAGAAACGTAAGTCTGACTCCAAAGTCCAAACTCCTAACCACTACTCAACACTGCCTTTTTTTTTAAAGTTCAGCACCCTCTATACCCTCTTCCAGATAAAGTTTCCTTGAAATTGGCCAGACATCCAAAGGGGATGTGGTTTTTGGAGGCCAAACTATAGAAACTAGGGGTTTACTTCCAAAAACAACTGTTTTCTGAATGTTGCTGCGTTTCTTTGTATTTTCCTCATCTTGACTGCTTAGATCTTTCCCACCTCTCATACTGAGGCTCGGGAGAAACTTACTCCGGGCCAGAAGTTCAGGCCAGTACAGCCCGACCTCCCGCCCGCCATCAGAGGAGTAAAGGTTGGCCTTTCACGAAGGAGCCCTGAGAAGGGGAGGGACATCATGCCTCTGTCCCTCTCCAGATTAGTCTCCTGGTGGGCCAGGCACTCTGATCCTCATTTCTAAGTTTCCCCTTGTTTTCCTCCAAAGAAAAGGGCCCCAAAAAAGGAAGAGAGTATTGCAATCTCTGGTCAGCCACCTTTGCTAAGCAAATGTTTCCATTCCCAATGCAGAGGCAAGGTTTGGGTTGGAGGTTTTGCAACACCGATGTAAACTCCCAGCTCATAATTCCAGAGGCTTGGAAAGGCTTGGGGCTTGGTAACCAGAATCTTCTGTGGATGGAGCAGAAGTTGGACCACAGGCTTCCCCAGGGAGAGCTGATCCTGGCTCTTCTTGGAAAAGGAGAAGATCTTTGCCAGGGTCGGAGCCTGCCCTCCCAGGGACAGTGTCCCCCTTTCAGAATTGTGGACCTAGGGCATCCTGCAAACGGGGGTGACCCTGCAGCATCCCATGGGTTAATTGGGTGCAGCCCTGGCCACCCTCACACCTGCCCTTCCCACAGATGAGTGGCTCCAAGAGTGCTCAGGGTCGTGTCCCCACCTGGCTTCACCAGGGCAGCCCCACTGTCATCAGTGTTATGTATTGGGGTCTATGTGAGCTTTCTTTTGTCAGAATTGCTTTTGCTAAACAAAGGTTTTGGAACTATCTCAGATTATCAATGTGTGACCAGAGGACATTGTCGTGAGCCTGAAGAAAAGGGTGGTCACATTCCCTAAAGGCTCACAGTAAACTGGGAACTACCATTGACGGGTCTTTCTAAACCTAGGCTTTCAGGCATTAGAAAAAGAAGTGTCTCTTCTTCAGTAAACCAAGCAATTCAGAATAGTCAAGACAGCCTAAATTGCCTTCCTTTCTCTCTAGCCAAGCTCAGCTTAAAACACATTTGGACTCTAATTCTTCCCTGAGTCCTCAATTTCAGTTCCCAGATAAAAGATATAACCTAGAAATTACCACCTTTGTTCATTCCCTATTTTCCATAATCTGGGTCCCTAAGTACCTTCCAAATGAGTAAAATCCTTGGTCTGAAAATGAAGCAGTGACCATGCGTCAACTCTGAAGCTGCCCTCCTGCTTGGATGGGAGGGGCGGGGAGGAGAAGGTGAGTGGGGAGGGTCCCATGCCACAAGGGCTGAGTGGCCTGTCTCCCTGCAGCTGTTTGAAGGGAACATGCACTACGACACCCCTGACATCCGAAGGTTCGACCCCGTGCCGGCGCAGTATGTGCGGGTGTACCCAGAGAGGTGGTCACCGGCGGGGATAGGGATGCGGCTGGAGGTGCTGGGCTGCGAGTGGACAGGTAAGTCCTTGCTCTCCTCTCCTGGCCTCCCCTGCATGGTCTTGCAACCCTGGCGTCCGGGGATTCTCTGGGTGGGGATCCGGGGGAGCCATCCCCAGTGAAGCCCTGCAGGCTGGAAACCCCTCAGGCCCCCGCCATGTCCCCAGGCCTCAGACCAGGGTACTGCAGCCTCTGGACCCGGGACAATTTCTGAAGGGCTGCACTTTGTCTTTTCTAAAGGATCATTTCAGTTCTCCCACTCGCCGAGTCTCTCAAAAACAAATCACAACCACACACCACCCACCCAAATTCAATTAGACCCTGACTCTTCAGGCCAGAGAGCTGTGGCTGTTGATTTAGGGAAGGAAAAAAACCCTCATGATAATAAAGTAATCGGTTTATGTCTGAATCTGGCCTCCAGATGTCAGTGGCTAAGAGACTTCATTTTCATTTCGAAGCCACATCTGTAAAAGGCATTTATTTGCTCAGGAGGGACGGGAGGGAGTCCCTGTCGCAGGGAGCTGACGGGAGTAGGAGTCCTTCCCAGCGCGCGGCAGAGTCTCGTTCACCCCCTGTCCCGCCAGGTGGCAGCGGCCTGGGGGCACCTCTAATTCTCCCTAATGAGGCCCGCTGCACGCCCCCCTCCTTGCTTTAGAGGGAGGGCCCTACCCTTCTGAGTCAGGCCTCACCTTTCCTCTGGGCACCGGCCATCCTCCCTGGGCAGAGCTGGCACTAGCTGGCACCCAGAGGTCACTCACTGCCTGCCAAAAGGAGCTCGTGGGAGCCTCCGGGGCTGGGGGCTGGAGCCCAGTGCCAGCAGGAGCAGCCGGCAGGCTGAGCTGTCCTGCCTGTCTCCACCGGGGCCCCAGGTATCCCGATTTTCCTGTCTGTGCCGAACCTGTCACCGACTCAGCCAGCAAGAGAGCATGAAGGATTAATAAGGGCATGTTGGAGAAGTGCTTTTGGCTCCCAGGGAGAAAAGTGCTGCCTGTGTGCTGGCTACAGCCGCGCAGAGGAGCCCCATCGAGGTGCACAGATGGGGAATCGGGTCCAAATTAGCCTCCTCACCTTTGAATTGAAGGCAGCCCCAGTGAACGCATCTTCATAGGAAGACACTTTACTCCCCATTACGTAGGGGTGAGGCCAAGGTTCCCTACAGCCTGCTAAATGTGTGTCACCTGTCTTCTCGCAGGTGCTAGAAACCTGCACTCCAGTGCAAGCTGGCTTCATTTACGGCAGCCTTAGAGTCAGGGGCTTAGCACTGTAGGGGATTCAGGAGCTTATAGTCCGGTGGCCTTCCCATGTTTTTGACCATGATCCACAATTTAAAATAAATTTCTATCGCGTCACTTACCAGCACGAACACATATGCACGAACAAGCACTCACATGTTTGTGTGTAATGGGGTACAGGATATCATGAAGTGCTTGGATTCTGGAGACAGACTGCCAAGTTCAAGTCCTGCCTCTGCTGATCGCTGGCTGCATAACCTTCGGACAAGTTACTTAGTCCCTCAGTGCCTCGGTTATCTTAGTTGAAAAATGGCGATGACTGTAGTCCATCTACACCCCCTAGGATCATGTGAAGACTAAGTAAAATAATAGATATGACGTACTTAGATGCTGCCCAGGACCCAGAAAACCTGTTATAAGGAGTAAATGTATCTGAAACAAAAGGTTCCCGAAGCAATGCTCATCCTGACCATGTTGCACACTCTGAAATCTTATGGTCCATAATTTTAAAATGCTAGTCATGACCTAGGAAGTTGATTCCACAACCTACTGATGAGTATGACACTTGGTTTGAAAAAAATCACAGGCCTAGGTGAAGTCCTCTTTCACAGACGGGGAAACTGAGCCCCAGAGAGAGGAAGCCACTCACCAGAGGTCACTCAGTTGGCTGGGGCCAGCTCACACTTCCCTCCTGTCCTTAGCCCTTCGGTGCCCTGCCTCTCCTGGTCTGGCCCTGCTTTATGGCAGCCGGACAGTTGCTAGTGACCTCTTCCCCTCATTGCCCCCCAACCCCAACCTGCCCCAAATGACATGGTGATGGTCAGTAACAGGTTTCTCATTTCAAAGCCCAGCCTGGCCGTTCCTCGGAAGATCAGAGTTGAGGAGCTGAGGAGCGTTACCCTCTGCCCAGCCTCCTTCCCTTTGAAGTCTCCGACATCTGGTTTCAATTTCGGGGGCGCATTGCTGTTTGATGGGCAGTTACCTCGGAGCGCCCAGGACAAACACAGTACACACACAGTATAAACACGGAGGCCTCTGTGCCGCCGTTTCCTCACTTTCGTTAACGCGTCCTGCCCTCTCGCTGCCTCCCCGGCCCCGTGCCCCTGCATTTAACATTATCTACACCAATTGGCTGACCCATTTGGCTACCTAACATTTCCAGAAACTGTTCTCCGTGGGTCATGTGGCATTGTTTGCTTTTCAGATTTCCATCCGTTTCTGCAACTCATCCTTGGTTCACTTCCTCTTTCCTACCCAAAGGATAACAGGAAAAATAATGGGCTGGGTTGAGTTCTCGCAGCTAAATAATTTGACAGGGCTGCTTCACCTGTTAGTTGGTTTGTTTGTGTTTCAAATGATTACGTCTTGCCTTGCCGCCCGTGGTTTACTTTACAGTTGAGTTTCTATGACACAGTGACAAATTTGAACTTACAAATTAGGACGCTTCGAGGTTATTTGCTATTTACTGTGAGCAAGAGGCAGACACAGCAAAGGGAAGTATGAAAGGTTACGTGCGTAGTATTTAATAGCAGAAAGGTGGGAAGTCGACCGTGAAAAAGCTATTCAGCGTATTTAGCAATTTCCTCCAGCTCCTGGCTTTATTAAATGGTATCCTGAAGGGTGCCTGACAAAGGCGCCTAATCACATACAGTAGTGCAAAGGAGCACGTATAGAAATGGGAGGAACAATGCTCCCACTTCTATGGGGTGTCTTGTTGGAGGACAGCTCTGGGGTGAAGACACCACCCCAAAACACATGGACTTGAACACCAGTTTCCATAACCCCTTTTACCCCACCCAGGACCTGACTCATAGCTCCATTCATTCCCTAAATGGTTGCTGAATGAATGACTGGCGTGAGCAAATAATCGAATGAATGGGTGAATGAATCACGGAGAACCCAGGTCAAAACACACTGCCTGCAGCCAGGTTTGGCCTAGCCAGGGTGTATTGCACGCTACTTATTATGACAGTTTGAATAAGTTGCCAACATAGATGAGTCTGGAGATTTTGCATAGGGATTTTCACCTTGGGGGTGGGAGGAAACTTGGAAAACTCGTTCACACTGGGTCGTTTCCTTACCTGGTCCCAAACTGCTGGAGCCAGTCATGGCGGCTTCCTTTAACCCAAGCGTGCAAGATCTCAGCTGCCACCAGCTCCTCCACACCTTCCCCTCTCCCCAACCCCCTGTCTGCTTGCCTGGCTTATAGTAGCTGTTTGGATCCAGGAAACACTTGCATTTGCCACACCCTAACCTAAAGGCACAGCCCCAAATTCCTCTCACCAAGTAGAGTCTGAGCCCCTTTAAATCCATATTCCTGTCCATCCAGTTTCGTGCAAACACGAACCACAGCATGGCTTAGCCCTACTTCGGAGTCAGCATCCCCACCACCCACCTCCATTATTGTCTCCCGCGGCCTTTTGCGCTGGCCGCCGGGCCTCCGCCGTGGAGTAGAGCGTGGGTTTGTGTCCATACCTCTGTCACAGCTCTTTCTGCAGCCCAGGGCCATTCCCATTCAACTCAGGCCACGCTCCTGACGTCACTAGCGGCACACAGAGGTGACTTCAGGGTTTTGTGCACATGAGTGCATCTTTGTTTTCCTTCTCTTAAAGCCCACACGTGAGGAGGAAACTTCCTCTTTGGCATCTTCCTCCTGCTGGGCTGCCATGTAGGCTGCTGCAATGTTTTCTTCTCTTCCTTTGCCTTCACACAGACTCAAAGCCCACAGTAGAGACGCTAGGCCCCACCGTGAAGAACGAAGAGACGACCACCCCATATCCCATCGACGAGGAAGCCACGGAGTGTGGGGAGAACTGCAGCTTTGAGGATGGTGAGGATCGGTGTGGGGGCGTATCACATCCAGGATGGTGTGGGTGCAGACCAGTCAGAGTGGAGGGGTCCCCCGGGTCCGAGGTCCAGGGCGTCTTAGGCAGGGATCAGGGAGGTGCAGGTACTCAGGGGCTTGAGGCAGTGGCTCTGTATGACCAATCCAGACCATAGCAACCAGTACAGCCCTATGGTTGTGGACCCACTGGTCATCGACTTTGAAAACCAAAGACAATGCCTCCTTTGAGAAGTCTCATCCTTAAGCCCTCACCATAATGCTTCTCCTGTTAAAGGAAAGCCATTCTCATCCTTAGAGTCCACAGTTTTTCCTAACAAGCTGTGTCTCTATGGTACAGTCAAGTGAAGACCTGGTGGTCACCTGGGTGCTTTGGTCAGTGGAATATGATAGTTGGGTTAATTCGTCAGTTAACCATGACTTAATTTCCTTGTGTCTTTCACCACCGCTGATGTGAGGAAGTGTGACAAGGACAATTCCATAAGGTAGCGTATCGCACCCGCTATGCCTTGAGTGCAAGCCAGAGACCAAAGCAGAAGTGTAAAAAGGCATCCTCAACCGTTCCTCCTCGTGTTTGGATCAGTCTCATCCCTTGGGAATCTGTTTTCTTTCCACTTTGTCTTAGGAGCAAATCCAAGTTAGATAAAAACAAAAATTGGCAGGGCCCAACAGTAAGTCACTTTTTAAATCATATTCTGCTAAGGTCACCAAGTATGAGGACGTTCCTAATAAACCACAAATTTTGGAACACCTGGCATTTCAGGCTAGAATTTTAACCTTGACAGCCTCAATTTACAGTAAATTACTGGTTACTACTAAATGTTCATTAAACAAAATGAGGGAAGATTGGCAAAGAGACGTGAGAAGGAGCAGAGACATAAAGATGGGGGTCGGGGGGGAGGTGGCGAAATCGGCGGAACCTGCACGTGCAGCTGTTTGACAGTAGGAGGAACTGCTCCGATCGAGGGGACGACTCTGAAAAATGGCAACGAAGGAGAATGGGAGGAAGGCCAACAATAAATGCTGAAGTTGCATGACTGAAAAATGATAATTTAATGCATATGCTTCTGGGAATGTGCTTTCGTATATTGTGTGGGTGGGGGACGCTGTTGGTCAGGGTTAGTTGAATACAGAATTCTGACATTTTAATGAACTTGTTTTTGTTTTATGAAGAGAAGAAGGAGACTTGGAGTATCTTCCAAGACGTGTTTAAGATAGTTTGCGAGCCAAAAGTGGAACGCATAGGGAGTTAATATATGGTACTGCAGCGGTCCCCAACCTTTTTGGCATCAGGGACCGGTTTCACGGAAGACAATTTTTCCACGGAACCTGGGGGTGGGGGCAGGGATGGTTTCGGGATGATTCAAGTGCATTACATTTATTGTGCCCTTCATTTCTATTATTATTGTACTACATTGTAATATATAATGAAATAAGTATACAGCTCACCATAATGCAAAACCAGTGGGGCCCTGAGCTCTGATCAGGCAATGTGAGTGATGGGGAGTGGCTATAAATACAGGTGAAGCCTCCCTCGCTCACCTCCTGCTGTGCGGCCTGGTTCCTAACAGACTGGGACTGGTCTGAGGCCTGTGGGGGGGGACTGCAGTGGTATTGGATTCCCAGAGTTACCCTGTTGGGGGACAGTGTAGGGGTTCTACCTAAATGACAATCCAAAGGAAAAATGAAGAGTTCTGCTGCAAAATTTCAGAAGTTTATTTTTAATATAATTTTTCCATTTATAGCGGTTTGTTTCATTTGAGGTTTCTTTGATGGTTCCTCCCCTCTCTTTTTGCAAAAGATCTTTCTGTGGAATTTGATTCCTGAGATACACAGTATGCCTGTAAACATTAGGGAGGAATTATGGTATATTGAATTACTCCATGTTTTTGAAGGGAAAAATAGAAATTTAGAAATTGTCAGGAGAAGGGGATGGTGAGGGCTAAGGGCTGACTTTTCCAAGCCACAGGTTGATGTTTCTGTAACAGATTCCGTGTGTTTCTTCTCGACTTTGAGCTGACTTTGGCCAAGGGTGGGCAAACATTAAATGTCCTCTCTTGGAAAGGGGAAGCACAAACAGGGCCTGGTGGCAATCTGCCTCCTGCCTTAGAGGCCAGCAGAGCCCTGTCCCCCTAAGAGGTGAGCCCTCCTTGCCCCCATGGTGAGCAATTTGTTTCTACCAGTCCGTTGTTCCCTTTAGACTTGCTAACCTGCATGCTAAGCCTTCGCCACGGAAATTCCTCTCTGGGAACCCTGGGAAGGGAAGTGAGAGGGCCAGAGACCCTGCTTCCTCCCTGCTACCAGCGTTAGCCAGCACTTTTCCGCTGTCTCTGCAGCTACTGTGGGCAGACGTCCAATCTGGGTTCCCATTTCCTCTTTCCCCACCTCCACGCCACCCCACTTAATTACACATTTGGCACTAGCTCATACTGGATTTTTGAGCTGGGTGGAACCTCAAAAGAAACTCCCTTGGTTCGGTCTTCAGGCTCAGGCAGGTGAACCACCAAAGCCAACAGGATGAGCCACCTTGTAGCCACTTGTTAGATTTCCGTGGGGCCAGCTTTCTCTGCTTCCCTGGGATCCCAGCCTTCAGGGACTCGGCACGATATGACATTACTTTTCCTCCTGGTCAGCGCTGAGCCGGGCAGCCGGCTGGTGTGGCTCCTTCATTTTGCTCCTAACGTGCCAAATCTCCCGCCTGGTGATACCTCCCTGAGGAGGTGCCCAACTGTCCCTGTCTTCAGAAATAAGAGACGGATCACAAAGAGGTGAAGAATAGCAAACAAGCCTCCCTTGTTTCTGGGGTCACTTTCTCCTCACTGGCCAGAACCTCCCAGGCATTTCGGCCTCTCTGGATGCTAACGGGCTGCCCAGCCACTTCTGAGAGCCAGGTTGGCAGGAGATGAGATAATACTCTTTTTGGGAGCCAGCCCTCCACTGGGGCACTGGGGAGACATTCTTCTCTGGCATTTAGGGAACAGCAATTTTCACATTTGTCTGCTCTCTGAGGTGGGACAGAAGAGGCTGATTAGAGCCTGAAGCCATTTGGTGGCCTCATTTATAATTGCTTACTATGGGAACCACTGGCAGACTTGGCTTTCCTGCCTGGGAAGGATGAGACCAAAGTCTGACCCGAACGCCAGCCATCGCCAAGATGAGTTAAATGAATAAGCAAAGGGAGCCACTTCTTTCTCTGCTCTCCGCTCAGGCCTTGCCAGCCATTTAAATAGCACCACTGTGGCTGTTCTCTGAACCCATTTCATTTGCCTTCCTTTGGGTTATTTTTTTTCCCCTCCTTTTAGACAAAGATTTGCAGCTCCCTTCAGGATTCAACTGCAACTTTGATTTCCCGGAGGAGCCCTGCGGTTGGATGTATGACCATGCCAAGTGGCTCAGGAGCACCTGGACCAGCAGCTCCAGCCCAGACGACCAGACTTTTCCAGGTAAGCCAGCTGTGAGTTAAGAGACCAAAGAGTTAAGGCCAGCCGGCTCCACATTTTTCAGCCCTGATTCCCTACCAGCTTCATAACCTCCCACCACAGAGCAATCCTCTGTTCTTTGCCCACAAACCACCACAGTCTTTGCTCAAGACGTCACCTCGCAGAATAGCTGGTTGGTGGTTCCCAGCCCTCTCTTGTGATTACAGCACAGCCGGGAAGCTGGGAGGGAGAGGGGAAGGCCAAGATAAAAGAAAGAAAAAAAGAAAGAAGGAGCAACTGGGAGGTCCTAGGAGATGGGATGAGTCAACGTCCTCTTGATCCCATAGCCAGCGCTGGCTGTCACCATTACAGAGCCTCTTGTCAACTTCAAGCTCGTTGGGAAGCCACTGGCCTTGAGTTTGACCGATAACTTCTCCGAGGGTGTCATTGCCTCTAAAGCAAACCAAGTCGAGGGATTGAAATCCTGTCACACCCATGGGTGTCTAGCAGAGCTGCGCAGCACTTAGCCTCTGAAAGAATGTTGCTGCCAGTCCTTGAAATATTGTTAAGCCCACCCTTTTGGTTTCAGAAAGCCAGATTTCAGAAGCCTCTCCTGGCACTGTGGGCGGAGAGGGGCTGCCTTTAGCTTTTCTAAACAGGCAGAAGCAAAAGTTGTCTACTATCTCCACTGACACCTGCTTTAATAGCAGCATTCTGGTAAATGTTTAACAATAGGCTTTCCAGGGATTGAAAAGAAACCCCTGCTTTGTAATGTGGGCCATTTTTGGTGGTGTAAATACTCTTACTGTGGTTGGGTTTAAGCTACCAACACAACATCACTGCAGGTGGAGTTGAGACATGCAGCGCAATAGACATAAACGGCCTTAGGAGCTCCTGGCCAAATGTATTGAGATAATCAACAAGGGTTGAGTTTTGAGGATTTGTTACCTTTGGTATTTTATATAATTTATTTAATTGCAACTTTATATAATTTAAATTTAATAATGATTACCTTAGACCCCATAGCATTTGAGAGGAAAGGGGTTAATTCTGGAAATTTCAGAGATCAAATGTTGCCATGGCACAATGGGAAATTACTAGCAAATAAAAGGGTGAAGGGACCTCCCCTTCTGCAGACTTCCTCAGAGCCACTCCTTCCCCCCACCGCAGGACTGGCCACTGTCCCCTGTCCCCAGGGGGTGACAGCGGGGTGGAGGCTAGGAGAGTACTTCGGGGTGGCCTCCTGACACAGCCCGCACTTGCCTTCCTGGCGGGTCACAGCGTCTGCTCTGGAGAAAAACATTTTCATATTTCAAGTGTTTATCTCTTCAGCATTTGAGTGCTCAGAGAGATTAATATCTGAAGATCACCACAGCCTCGGGCAACAGGAGAGAACACTTACCCCAGTCCCGGCCTTAATCACCCTCCCCCCTCTCGTTCACTGCAATAATGTTTAATTAATATAATGAGCCTCCTGCACGTTGGAAAAAAAATACTTATTTTTATAACCCAGCCTGCATTTTTCATTTCATTTCCTCTCCTTTGAGACTGGGTCCAATTAATTCGTGGTTTTTCCCAACCCCCACTTTTATCTGAATGTAAAGAAGGCTTGTGGGGTCTGTGTATGTGTGAGTGTGTTTGTGGTTTCTGTGCATGGGTGTGCACGTGTCTGTGAGGTGTGAGCCTAAGGGGGGCCACTTGGCAGAGGCGCTTTGAATACAGGGATGTAGCCAGAGTGCCCTACAGGCTGGGGAGATTGGCTGGCTCTTACTCAGAGTCCGTCTTCAGGTTCATTCTAGTAATTCTGGCCTCCTCCCTTACACTCTTTTAAGCAGATTTTCTCTAGGAGTGTCTGAGGCCAGCCCTGCCTGGGCTGTAAGGCCACCAATTAGCAAGTAGCAGTTCTGAGAGAGCTTATGTTACCTCCCTTCAACCCTGGCCTGTACCTCTGTCCCTTCTCCAGCTCACCTCCGCCTCCCCCTCCTGCAATCCTGGCCCCCACCTGAATGCCCCGACAGTCCACCCTTGCTACTGGTTGAAATTCTAGTCTTTGTCCTCATTCCAGTTGATTCATTACACGCTGCGGTTTGGGAGGGCTTTTCAGAGCAAGCTCACAGAGCAGGCGGAGTTCCAACCTTTGGCTGAACGGATGGGGACAGAGAGAAAATTAGGGCCATAAGGAACTGCTAGAGCTAATGTTCCTCCCTCAAGATATTGAGAAGGAAAATAATTATTTTCCTCTTGCAGAAGAATCCCTGAAGTTTGGGAAAGTGGCGCTTGTGACCTGCCTCTGGGACACAGAATCATAATATTGTTCTCGGAGCCCTTCCCTCTATCCTCTGATGATTTTAAAAACCGTTTTCTGTATGTCCCATTTTCCTTCTCACAAAACTCAATAAGCGGC